GCTCAAAGCAGGAGTTGGTGATCTCAGCCACCGACAGCTGCTCATGATAAGCCTTCTCTGCTGAGATGACAGGGGCATAGGTGGCCAGAGGGAAGTGGATGCGAGGGTAGGGCACCAGGTTGGTCTGGAACTCGGTCAGGTCAACATTCAGGGCTCCATCAAACCTCAGTGATGCTGTGATGGATGAGACAATCTGGCTGATGAGTCTGTTCAAGTTGGTGTAGGTTGGGCGCTCGATGTCCAGGTTCCTGCGGCAGATGTCATAGATGGCCTCGTTGTCCACCATGAATGCACAGTCTGAGTGCTCCAGGGTAGTGTGGGTAGTAAGGATGGAGTTGTAGGGCTCCACCACAGCAGTGGAGACTTGTGGTGCAGGGTAGATGGAGAACTCCAGCTTAGACTTCTTGCCATAGTCAACAGAGAGTCGCTCCATCAACAGGGAGGTGAATCCAGAACCAGTGCCACCTCCAAAGCTGTGAAACACAAGGAATCCCTGGAGTCCCGTGCACTGGTCAGCCTGTGAAGAGAGATGCATGAGATCCTTCTGAAATGCATTTCTTTGAGAACATCTGACTGTCCAGAAGTCCCTTCAGGACCTGGAATATCCCTGCCTGGGGCAGATGCAGATCCCTCCCTGGGCGCAGCAGTGCTTGCAGTGTGCTCCGAGCGCCAGCAGTATCCTCGACTACAGCCAGGGGGACACGTCCCCTCTCTGCAGTCACTTACCAGCTTCCGGATCCTGTCCAGCACTTGGTCGATGATCTCTTTGCCGATGGTGTAGTGCCCACGGGCATAGTTGTTGGCAGCATCCTCCTTCCCAGTAATCAGCTGCTCGGGGTGGAAGAGCTGGCGGTAGACTCCTCCCCGAACCTCATCTAGGAGAGAGCAGGATCAGGTTGAGCCTTTCGGAGGCTGTTGGTTTGAGCTGACCACCAAGCAGATGAGTGGCTGCTAGCGCCATCCCTCACCTTGGCTCCGCCTGCCCGTGGCACAGCCAAGGACTCACACGTCAGCAAGGCCAACACTGGCATCAGGTTTCCCTGGCAGAAGGAGGTGGCTGCCACCTCCCTGCACAGCTCAGTTTCTCCCACCCTTCAAGAGCTGCCTGCCCAGTGCA